TCTCCTTTCCCCATCCCTCCTTCCATCTTAGATATAGTAGATACATTGTAGTAGTTACATCACAGTAGATACCCTGTAGCTATGCCCAGTAAATAGTGTTAGAATAGCTGTGAAAAGAAGTACAAGCCATGATAAAATGTCCGGGTTAGTGTGCGTGGATACACAATGGATAGAGAAACATGGTCAGATACACAGGGTGCACAGTGTGCCTGAACACACAATCGTTAATGTGTCTGGACGCATGATGGATAATGCACCCAGACACATGATGGGTGACACACCCAGATATGCAATTGATAATGTGCCTGGATGCACAATGCCTGGTGGATAATGCGCATTCATCCATGGACCCAAAGCCTTGGTATGGGATTGGAATACTCTATGATCTCTATTGATCATGCCGAAGAAGCCTTCTCCTAGGTCAGCCTTACTCATTGCTATTAACCTTGTGTTTATTTCGCTTTCTCGGCAGATTCCTCGTGCCCTTTGCAAGTTTCTCAATTGAGGCTGGTGTGGACAATGCAATGACAATTTGGGTGGAGGATTGGAGGATGATAGATTCAGTATGTCAATCATGCCTCAAATTATTTCCGTGGTGCTAACATTCATGTAAAGGATTTCATCGATAATGACAAGGACCCTGCTGAGCTGGATGAAGCTACTCCTCAACCACTCCCTGATCGAGAGGTGTACTTGTCTTATTCTAATTACATTCAACATTTTAGGCTTGTAAAGCCTCAAGTTAGTTATCTGTAATGCCTTAGTAGATGAGACATTCAATTGAATTAACTGTTACATTAATTATGATAGAAACACGCGCTAACGGCATGTGAGGTGCTATGGTTCTGTATAAAATACCAAACAATATCTCTATCCCTGTAAATCACCCAGTTTCCGTAATGGCCCAAGGTAGAGGCAGAAAACCAACACAGCAGCCAGCACCTCCTCGTACAGCTGGCCATAGAGCAGCACCAGTCAACTTTTGTGATGATCCCGGTTCTGGAGAAGAATTCAACTTCACTCCCTTGGACGAACATTCTGCTAATGAAGATGTACAGCATGTACAACGACCAATCTCTCCCGCGAGTGTTGAGCCTGTAGCTGGCTCTGCTGCCTCCACCAGACCTGTCACGCCTTCTGAGCAAGCCTCAGAACCCTCATGGAGCCGAACAGCCCCAGATATTGATTTTTTCTTTGAACACAGATCCAAGGTGCCTCCAGTAAGCTATGCAAGTACGTGGTCCTCCATAATTTTATACATTGTACTGACAAGGATTGTTATGTAGGGCGAATGGGATAGACTTGCGCCAGGGTGCAGGCAGCTTCTCAGCGAGCACCTCAAATGGTCCATTGCGCAACCACCTCCTAAGCCACCACAAGGATATATATCTCCAGAAGTGTTGTGAAACAAAATGGAAAGTCCCTGCACTTGCGAGCGAAACTGGAACAGCCCCTGCGCCCCCTGGACATGGAACACAACGTCCGCCATTTTCCCAGGAGGCATTGATACAGCATCTTCTCAATTTCATCGTTGCTGATGATCAGGTTGGTAAAGCACTTTTAATGTTTGGTATTAGTCTAACCTTGTTCGTAGTCTATAAATGTTGTTGAATGCCCAGAATTTCGACAGCTCCTCTTGCTTTTACGTGAGGACCTCGAGGACAAAGACATTCCCCGCCAAACGAAGATGCGCAAATCCATTATCAAGGCATGGCATGCATATTTCAAGGTCCTAAAACAGGAATTAGCAGTATGTTGTTTCAATTGACTGCTTTGTTTCCTTGTATTCACTGATCACTCTAGGATGCGCCAGGACGCATTTCCTACACAGCGGATATTTGGTCAACAAAAGCTCGGTACCCATACCTGGCCATTACCGCACATTGGATACATAGAGACAAGTCTACCAAGGGTCTTCAGCTGTGTTCTACACTCATCGCATTTCACCGTCTTCAAGGAAGCCACAATGGGAAGAGGCTAGCAAGGATTGTCCTCCATCTCTTGGATCGAGTTGGGATCACAGTCAAGGCATGTCTATGTTTCATTTTCTTTCCCTTTTCTACTTTATGCTTACATGCACAGGGAGGCCATTGGACTCTCGATAACTGCTTGCTCAACGATGCTTTCCTCAGATAACTCAAGTTACTTTTACGCCCTTGCGACATTGAGTTTAATCACAAGGAGAATCATATAAGATGCTTCCCACACGTTACCAACATATGTTCGAATCACGTCATCGATGCATTTACTGATATCACCCTGGTAGATGATACAGGGGGATTCATCGCATCTGCATCAGGCTCTCCAAGCGATCCCGATAATCAGAGCTACGAAGAAGCAATTGCTCGCGACCCAATTGCATTGTGCCAGAGTACCATACGAGCAGTACGTGCCTCAGGTCAATGATGTGACCACCTGGCAGAAGTAATAGAGGATGGAAACAAGAAAGGGTGGTTCAAGTCAACCAGGGATCTGACCATGACTATACAGGTTAAGCAGGCACAACTTATACGTGACATGAAGGTTCGGTGGGACTCTCTTTACTTCATGATCAATCGGTTTCGTAAACTACGCCTGGTATGTTTGAACTCTATCATTTTATAAGTGTATACTTATGAAAATAGGCTGTCGAGTATTTTCTTTCTTTGCCTGTCAATAGAGAGCTTGCGAAACTTAGACTTACTGATATGGAATGGACTGTACTCCAGGATTTTGAGATCATACTGGGTGTATGTCTCTAATATTGATACCTGTTCAAGGCTAAGTCTTTTTCTTAGGTACCCCATCAAGTGCAGAAAATCATGTCGAAAGAGTGCACTCCCATTTTATCAGGCGCAATTCCTGCGTTCGAAATGTTCATGACGGCATGGGAGCAACTTGGGAGAGAACACCCCCGCTTGGCCTGATGGATGGATATCAGTATTGACTGGGCAACAACTTACTACAAGAAAATGGATGATTCACCTGCCTACGTTATTGTGATGTGTGAGTTAAGGTTCAAATTCATAGATCATTTAATAACTTGACATCATCAGTTCTCAATCCCTCAATACGATTGTCGTGGATTCAATGACACTGGGAGCCTAATTATGTTGCCAGGGCCACTGTAATTATAAAGAATACCATAAGTGTCTCAGTTTGTTATGGTGACAGTATGCTAACATACTTGTTGCAGATGCAAAAATACCATGACCGTCTTCATGGACAAGTTCAACAACCTACACCTGGTACAGTGGCCTCGCAGCAACAGAGGCGAAGCTGGCATGACTTAGCTGGACAATACAGGCTCGAAGATATGATGGACCTTTCGGGTGCTTCTTTGCAGCATGTCCAAGGAGTTGAAGAACAGTTTGAGTCATATGAAAATGGGCCGCTCTCACTGCGTGGCACAGATATTGTAGTGTTTTGGGTGGTAAGTACAATGCCTCACTATTTTCCAATTTGCGTCACTGATTTGTTTACAGATAGGTGATAAAACTCATCCAATATTATACGCAATGGCATTAGATTATTTACCCATTCAAGCATCCTCGGTTCCTTCTGAGCGTGTTTTTTCATCCAGTGCTGAAACTGATACAAAGAGGCGAAATCGAATCCACCCTGTTCTAATGGAGGCACTTCAAATGTTAAAATTTTCGTTCAAGCAGCAACAGCTAAACTTTACGGAGGGATGGGCTGTCACAGAAGACGAACTCGAGTACTACGCAGATGACGACGAAGATGCAGTGGATTTGTTAGGGAAGCTAACTTCAGAAATTATGGAGGATGGTATAGATATTGATGAGGTAATTCACGTTGTTGGACAGGATGACGAGGATTGATAGAGATATTATTGTATACAACTTTACTTACCATCACAATGTACATTCTCCTCGAATTCTATTACATATTTACCCTCATTTTACTTAACACGCAAGTCATCAATTGCCGCAACATTTACCGGCTATAACTGGTTCAAAGCCACTGACTAAGCCGAGCCGAACCAGATTTGATCAGCTCTCAAGCGATCCACAAACCAGAACCGGCAAAAGCCGCCAGTTCAGCGAGCTGGCTTGCAGCTAGCTGAGCCGCAGCAACACTACTGGCAACAACATCAGAGAGTGAATGGAAAAGAGGAGTAAACTGACATTAGGTCCTTCAAGTTATCACATCCTGCCAGAATCTAGATCAGATGTGAGGAGAAGATGCGGCAGATGGAGTACCAGTTGAAATGGGAAAGTGGGGACAACAGCATTTGGATGAGGTGGACTTGACTCAGAGGTGGACAATCCTTTTTGCCCTGGGCAAGGGGGCTCCAGCAATAGAATGCCGGACCTATACCCAGTTTGTTAGTCCAGCTGATGGTCTAAAAAAATAAAAAAATTGGAGGTCTCGACAACTAGAGCTCAGGATTGCTTCAGAACCTCATATTGACTTGCATTAAGTGTCCTTATGTCACACAGTACCATATAGCAGCTATATACAGTGATTTACATATTGCTTTACAGTGTGCACAACTAATTTTCATGAGTGCTATTTGGTTGTGTTGCAAATGTGACATTTGGTCACATCCTGAACCCCTGTTCTTGGTTTTCTGCATCCAAAAGACTTCCAGCAGCTCTTACTCACCCTATTGCATCATCTACATGCAGGTTCAACACTTTGTGTAACAAGTAAATATGTTACTCTAATGATAAACAATTTTATCCATCAAACTGGCCAAATTGCACCATGAATGCACTGCTGTGTAGAAAGATTGGCTGTGAAACTTGATGGGTATGCAATTTCACAGTATTCTTCCCAACCTTACTTACTACTATGGGTTGAGCAGGCACCTCAATATGGGTTTGCATGGTGTATAAGAGGCAAGTGAAGCCAGAAATGATGTAAAAATATTACTAATATTACCATATTTGGACATGTGCCTGATTACGTAGTTAGTTAGTCCACCCAAAGTTGAGGGGAAAAAAAAATCGACCCCAGGTCTTTTTTTTCAATGCCGGAGCCCCCTTGGCCCTGGGTTTGGATCCTGGCCATTCAAAGTTTTCAACTTCCCACTATTCAGGGGAAGAGAGCTAAAAGCTTTATGAGCAACTGTGAACCTGGATCCAACAGAGCCAAATTGTGCACAAGGGAGGTTATAGCAGCATGCCTCAAAAATCTGGACAAACATGATAAAGCTAAATTTTAGGAACAGAAGCAACCCTGAATAACAAGTTATCTTGAGAACTATTTGGAGAGACCTCTTGGATTTTAGCATGGAGGGCTGGGATTGGAATTGCAGGAAATAAAACATGTGGCAATCTGAATTGTAAGTAAGTTCTCTAAGGTATTACAATTGCACATATTTGCACACACACATCAACAACACTATAAGTTACTTTCTTTTTCCCTTTACCTCACTCTTCTATACACATTTTGGAACTGTTCTATCCTTGTGAGTGAGAACACATTTACACTCTTTTTTGAACACCATCCAAACCATGTTCTTACTTGAAAGTGTGGTTCCTATACTATGTTAATTGCATCCCTGTGAGAATTTTTTGAATCTCATTATGTCCTGTTGCATTCATTTTTTTTTCGATGCATATATCCATGTCCCACTCCTGCCCTTGTCCCATCTTGAAAGATGTTTCCTTTTTTTTGTGCATATACTCAAGTTTTCACACATATAGTCATCCCCTTATTGTGCTGACTGGTGGCTACCACTTTTATAATATAACCATGGTAAGTGCCAGCAGAGCTGTTGTATAGGTCCACACTCTATATGAAAGACATTTCATTTAGTTACCTGTTGTCTTTCTTTCTCATACTATCATGTACCTAGTTTTGCAAATCAGCCTCTAACTTTACAACAAGTATGATTTACACTCTAGAAATATTTGAGGGAGTGTATACCTATGTATAGAGTGTGACTATATTTTTTTCTTTGAGAATGTGTCTGTACTTTCTAAATTGATGCAGTGGTTGTTGACATGTAGACATGTTTATAGATGTGCAATGCCACTATAGTAGAAATATTCTAAATTTTACAATTTCTTTACAGTTTTTTGTCAAAAATTATAGTGGGATGCACCCAGTGTAGGTGGAACTCACAGGACTGACAAAAGATTATACTTTATAGCACTGTTTATGTCATCTTACTTACTCTTTTATTTCTTTTGCACTGAAGAAACATCACACTTCCAGATATTGACCTTGAACTCAAGATCAGCACAAGAATGATGATAGTGAGTTCTCTAACACACAGGGTTTAAGGCACTAAATTGGAGGACATTCACAAGATGGTTGCATTGATAGCAAGTAGAAGAAAAGTAAAGACTTTTTTTGTAAAAAGATATTCATATTAGATCAACTTTTTTTTAAATTTAAATTTAAATTTTCTCCATTCCATGAAGGTGCTTTGCTTCAACAGAACTGTATCTGCCATTAGCACCACTGTTGCAGACAGAAGTTATGTAGGCTTGCTCCTTCCCTACCAGGATCAGTAGTTCAACAAAAGTAGTTACTATGACCTACCAGCACCTCAGTGCACCCTATGAGCTGGCAGATTTTAAAATATGTCTTGCACACCTCCCCGTGCTTAGCTTTTTTAGATGCACATACCTTTATGTATTTTCAGCTACCTGGAAGTTGTTTGGAATGAAGATATGAAAATATGGATAAGTCCCATCAATGGAAAAATGTAGAATGGTGTCATGCTCATGCTCCCTGGCAATCAATCTGCCGACATGGGGGCCTGAAATGTTAAGGGTCCAAACATATCATTACCCAAGAAACTTCATGCATCTACTATAAACAATGCATTGGCAACATGCCAAGATTGAATCCATCACCAGGCACAAAGGGTTGAGAAGACCATGACATGCGGGAGTGAGGAAAGTGCAATCAGATGCACTGACAAGATGCATGAATACCTAAACAACACACACACACTAACACCTTAAACACTTATCACCACAGGTATGTGCTCAGTGCTTCAAGTTTGGGTTTGTACAGTAAACGGAATTACCACACTTGTTTTGTTAGAACTTAAATAGAAGTTTGAGGAACTGTCTTGTATATTTGGTAACACTTGTTCTAGTCTAGTAAGACCTAGGTAATGTCACAGGTTTGTAAACCCATGCAGGTTGATGCCACAGGTTTGTATGGGTATGGGTCCAGGTTGGGGCCTAGTAACCCTCTCCTAACCCATACCTATGCTGCGGGCATGGTGGGTTTTGGCATGTGAATGTTCTTTCAACCTCAATGGGTATTCAGTACTACCCAGAAAATATTGCCAATTGCACAGCAATGCAAATGGCAGACCTTCCTACTGTACAGTGCCTGTGGCGTTGGTCCAATAAATAAAAAATTGTGTCGCTAAAAAAATCCACATCCCAGAACCACATCCCACATCCCGATCCTATGCCGACAAATTCTCCTGAGGCCTCTGGCCCTTGTAAACGTAATCTTTCAGCAAAGGTGACTACTAATGGTGACTCTGAGGTGGAACAAAAGAAGAAGAGATTAGAAGTGAAGGAACAGAGCACGAAACCGGCACCTACCCAAAAGCACTCAAAGACTACAACAAAGGCAGCCACAAAACCAGCCCCATGACCACGACACCCCTCTGTTGAGGTTGAGGAAGTTGAGGATGAGTCTGCTAACTGCACATCCGTCCCACCTTGCAATCCACAACACATCCTGGAGGCCGCCGATGGGAGTGACAATGATGTCAACATCCCAGCACCACCTCAGAAATCCAAGAAGAAACCTGTGGTTACAAAACGGTGCCCCTCTGTTGAGCTCGAGGACGTTTACGACGATGAGGCAGATTGATATACCTCTGTCCCACCTTGCAATCCACAACACATCCTGGAGGCTGCCAATGGGAGCGACGATGAGGAGGAAGCTCCTGTCCCTGATATAAACCAGGAGCATGAGGTGCTTGAAGAAAGTGATGAGGCTGAATTGGGTATGTACTTGATCATTGTGTCATATCCTGAACTGACCATCAGTATGTAGAGCACCTGTCTAAGGATTGGACTTCACCTATCTACATCTTTTTCAGGACGTCACCTCGCATTGACTACGTGGATGGCTGTCATGCTCACATATTTGAATGTGCAGCTGGGAGATGTCGAGGTAAGAATGGAAGGGTCATTCATTGATATTTAGACAAGGGCGACGTGAAGTCAACAAGTGGCCTGCATCATCATGCAACCAAATGTTGGGGTGCTGAAACTGTGAAGTCGGCAGATGGTACCAAGGATTTAGAGGCTGCACGTGCAATCTTGTTGAAGTCAAAGTTGTGTGATGGGACGATTACAGCCAAGTTCGAACATATGAGGAAAGGCAAGGTCACCTATTCACACTGTCAGCATACTTCAACTGAAGCAAGGTAAGCAACATACCTTTAAACGACACTTTCCACCTGACTTCCTGTGCCACTGTAGGGCTGAAATTGTCCGTTGGGTGTCCAAGAATAAGCGGCCCTTCAAGATCGTAACTGATCAAGGTTTCCACAGCCTCATGAAAACAGGACGGCCTGATTACCACCTTCCCTCTGCTGAAACTGCATCCCACGACGCATGGGTCATGTTCGTCAACGTCCAAAGACACATTGCCAATATGTTACAAGTAAGTTATAATTGAGTATTCCTCATTGCGAACTCACCTCAAAAACCACTGCAGGAACACATAGGGGCACTGAGCTTCGCAACCGACACATGGACATCCCCCAACCACAAGGCATACATGGCCATGACAGTTCATTTTGAAAATGAAGGCGTCCCTGTGGCAATGCTTCTCAACATTGTGGAAGTTGTGTGCTCGCATTCTGGCCTCAATTTGGCAGCTG